CAGCAAAGCGATCGCAGGAGAAGGGCCTGTCTGAATCCGTCATCTCTCACCTGGACCACCCTTGCGCGGGACTTTGTCTCCACCTGCAACATCGATGACGTAGATCTAGGAGGTAGTGACAGAAGGTGAGCCCGTAAAGACTTGCTTTGTCGCTCCGATCGACGCTCAGGACCCACTTGATAGTCAGCGAGCTCTGAGCTGTAGCTAGCAGCCAGATTGTCTCCACCAGACTCCAACAGTAGTGCATTGCAGGCATACTTGGCTTGGAGCGCCTCTAAAGCTCCCAGATTGGCACTGATGTCTTCGCGTATGGCAGCGTGCGGGCAACCGCCGGTTTCGATGGCCCTGATACGATCCAAAGGCTCCAGCGCACTGTTGCGATGAAGGAACTCTTGGTCCTCGCTGTGGACAAAGGAGCGATCAGAGGGCTGGCTGAAGATGCTCAAGCCCCGCATTATTGATGCTCACCGGGTGAAAATGTCGTTGGTGACCACGCCAAGGTTGAGTCGATCCCTCAACTTGCGACAGAGAGCGAGGAGCAGAGCAGTCTTGCCTGACCCGACCGGACTGTATGCGGCCGTGAAAGCGGCGTCAGCCATGCCTCTTTCTGTTTTTCCCTCAATGCCCTTTTGGACAGACGTCGCTGAGCTGCTTCAAGCCCGAACGGAGACACACTAGCGCACTCACCCTCCGATGCCAACAGTGAAAGCTCTCTCGTTCCAGTCCCGACCTGAGTGATCCGGCTGTTCCCTCTCCTCGTACTTGCCAGGATGATCCATCTGCTCGTGCGTATGACCATGCTCTCCGCCGTGCGTGTGGCCGTGCGAGTGGCCGTGAGAGTGTGCATCCTCGACGGGCGCTGCGTTTAGGATGTTTGCTCCGCCAGGAGACTTGAAATCGCAGACTGGTGCGGAAGACATGATGCGTAGGCTGTGCGAGTGATCGTATCACTTGTGGTTGGTGCTGCGGAATATGGTGACAGAGGTCAAGGGTGCTGGCTGGGTCGAGCTTCAAGATCAAGCTAGCGTGCGTTCATCCAGATGCATGGCTAATCGATAGGAGTGTTGCACCAGACCGTGTTTGTGCGTGATCACAGGTGCCATTCTGATTGGCGATTCGTACGCACTCCTTTTGACTCGAGGCTTTGCTTGAATTGCGGTGAATTGCCAAGCCTTTTCTTCGTACGAAAGGATGGCGCGAACACTTCCAGGAGTGCACGGACCTTTTGGACAGCAACGGCCATGCATGCAGTCACACGCGCCGCCAAACGTCCGCCTAAAGCTGCTGCCCAGCAAGCAGACTCTACACTCCGTCATGTGGACGGTTTGATCCGCTTTCGGCTTGCGGAGTGGGTGGGATACCGTACATGGGAAGACTTGCCTGGGCATCCAGGGCGACCTCAGCCACCGTGCACGACTCACACTACCGTACCGTACTGTATCGCGCGCACAGCAAGCACGAGTCGTGTCGTGAGCATTGCAGGCATCAAGTGATCGAAGAGCGACAAGCGCAACAGCTCGCTCGATCGCAACATGTCAAGCATGATTGATGATCA